AGACCTGAACAATCACCAATGTAGTGCAGCAGACGAGGCAGGGGGATGCACGTCTGGGATGCAGGTCCGATGGCAGCAAGGTCAGAAGCGGGCCGAGCAGGACTCCGGCGGCGAGGCAGTACCAGGCAGCAGATGAATTCGTAGTGGGGGGGCGGGGCCGAGGCCTAAACCAGGAGGACCGCGTGCTGCAGGAACGGCCGGCAGAAGAGGTGTCGGGAACAATGCGAGGTCAGGGTGCAGGAGAACAGCAGGAGGGTCGGGATAGCCGGGTCGCAGGAACAATGTGCTGGAGTCCTGATAGCAGAAAGCCGACGGTCATCCAGCGCCGGTCATCAGGGAGACGCAGTTTGCGCATCGATGCAGAGGCGCATACCCAGGCCTGACTCCATGGGTCAAACCATGCGCAACACTACCATCGAGAGCTCTTCGACCGGCTTCTTGACACTGTGAAAGAAAATATTTGTACTAAATGTTAAATCCATTTCTTGGACTTGTTTGAGGAGCACACAGGCCCAACCCCTGACTATGGTCATGCCCTGGGTACTGCTTTTTAACCAAAACTGAGGCATGCTGACAGTAGGAGACGACATACCAAGCTGGTCACTTTTTTTTTTTGCCCACGTCCAAATCCTACTGTAGGTGACGGTATAACCCGACAGTCTCTGAATTCCTGTGTCCCGCAATGACCTCCCAAGAATTAGATTTTATGCCAAGTACAAAAATCCCATTTTCTTTCCGCCCTCTGATCCCCAGCATCACATCTGCAGCCGATTCGTCTATCCGGCTAGACCAGCGCTACAGTTTGCAGCAGGGGTAGCCAAACTCCGCCCCTCTATCTGCGGTGGAACTACAAATCCCACCAGGCATTGCAAGATTCTCACAGACGTGACTCCCGGAGAGAGAGAGAGAGAGATGCATCATGGGATTTGTAGTCTCGACTTTAGGCCGGGGGCCCCCCTGACGTGCTGGATGCAGGACCCACCTGAGAACCCACACCTACCTGAGAGTGACCCTGCAGAGCCCACCATAGATGCTGCACAGCCCATTTGATACTCTCTATGGTGGGCTCTGCAGGGCCTCAGGTGGGCTGGTCAGGGATGCATCTCCCTCCCTCCCAGCTCCTCTTAGCTGCTCCTGGTGCCTGTACGCCTGGCCTCCTCTGCCGCCGGACTGGCTGGAAGTGACGCGATGTCGCTTCCGGACAGTCCGAGATCAGAAGAGCAGCGGGTGTGATGGGGCTCGGCCCCCTCCTCACCTGTCACCGTCGACCGATACTCACGAAAGGCTCCCGGGCGGGCCCCCCAGGCTGCCTGGGCCCCTTACATGAGTATCGGCCATATCCCCCCTGATGGCGGCCCTGGCTACATAGTATTTAAATCTGAACTCCGAGCAGACATAAAAGACACATTAATGCATTAAAGGCTCACGGTATAAGTGTGCGCCGGTATGACCCTTCTACAGCCCCCGTGCAGCCGAGCTCAGACTGGGGGAGGGAGAGTCCCCCTCGCCGGGTGTGTCTGCAGTACTGAGGATGGAAGAGTCGGTGTTCTCAGACTGGTCCTGGAGCTCACAGCTGACATTTTATTTCCTTCTTCTACTAAACATTACACTGTGTGTTATTCTGGACACTGACTCTTTCTACACCGCTTCATAGTTCTGTGGGACATCGGGCCCCTGCGTGACTCCGGGGGGGGCCCTGAGGCCATGCGTTTCATGTCACCTTCGGAGAACTGAAAGAGATGCCATCCTTCCGTATCGGTCAGGTCGGCTGCTCCTCGTCTTTTATAGTATTCGATGGACGGCTCGTTCCAGTGCAGAGCGATGAAGTACAAAGAGCGACAGCGGGACGAGATGGCTTCCTGGAGGAAGAATACAAGACGTGTGCCATTCATCCAACTGTCCACCCAGAGCCGCCATTCATCCAACTGTCCATCCAGAGCCGCCATTCATCCAACTGTCCATCCAGAGCCACCATTCATCCAACTGTCCACCCAGAGCCGCCATTCATCCAACTGTCCAAATTTATCCAACTGTCCATCCAGAGCCGCCATTTATAGACCGGATACATCCTAAATATAGAGCCATTTATCAATGTATTGAATATAGACATGATGGCTCCTCAGGGGCGGGGCTTGGTGAACAGAAAGCCAGGATAGGCAATCAGTATACAATGTTGTCTCACCTGGCTTATTCTCTTCAGTATTTCGGACCCGACCCCCCGGCCTGAGAGAAGAGAGACGGTCAGTGAAGTTCAATCTGATAACTGCGGAAGTCTCATGATAGAAAGGAATCCTTCTCACCCCGATAAGGCTCCATGACGAAGAAATCTTCCAGATACAGGCTCCTCCCCTCCCAGGGATCATATGTGAAATAATACATGGCGAATCCGATCTTCTCCCCTCCCCCTGGAATTATAAGACATGGACCAGTCCGGGGTACAGAGAGGTGCACACCCCTATGTACCCCCGGCCTCCCTGTAGAGGTGCACACCCCTATGTGACCCCCGGCCTCCCTGTAGAGGTGCACACCCCTATGTATGTGACCCCCGGCCTCCCTGTAGAGGTGTACACCCCTATGTATGTAACCCCCGGCCTCCCTGTAGAGGTGTACACCCCTATGTACCCCCGGCCCCCCTGTAGAGGTGCACACCCCTATGTGACCCCCAGCCTCCCTGTAGAGGTGCACACCCCTATGTGACCCCCAGCCTCCCTGTAGAGGTGCACACCCCTATGTACCCCCCGGCCTCCCTGTAGAGGTGCACACCCCTATGTATGTGACCCCCGGCCTCCCTGTAGAGGTGCACTCCCCTATGTATGTAACCCCCGGCCTCCCTGTAGAGGTGTACACCCCTATGTACCCCCGGCCTCCCTGTAGAGGTGCACCCTTGGGGTTATGTATAGAGGGGTGTGCACTGTTATGACCTATCTCGCTATGTACAGACCAGAAGCAGGTAAGAATGTTCAGTAAAGTTAAACCCCCAGCCTCCCTGTAGAGGTGCACACCCCTATGTATGTGACCCCCGGCCTCCCTGTAGAGGTGTACACTCCTATGTACCCCCGGCCTCCCTGTAGAGGTGTACACCCCTATGTGACCCCCGGCCTCCCTGTAGAGGTGCACACCCCTATGTGACCCCCGGCCTCCCTGTAGAGGTGCACCCTTGGGGTTATGTATAGAGGGGTGTGCACTGTTATGACCTATCTCGCTATGTACAGACCAGAAGCAGGTAAGAATGTTCAGTAAAGTTTGATAAATGATTGTGATGTACAGAGCTGACCCGGCACTGGAACCGGAGCCCCGACACTGGAACTGGAGCCCCGGCACTGGAACTGGAGCCCCGGCACTGGAATACCGACACTGGAACCGGAGCCCCGGCACTGGAACCGGAGCCCCGGCACTGGAACCGGAGCCCCGGCACTGGAACCGGAGCCCCGGCACTGGCCCAATGTACAGAAGATCCTCCGGAATTAGACAGAAACTTACTGTGGCTCTCCGGTGTCAGTTCTGCCATCAGACAGGAATAGAAGGGGCGCTCGCCAAACCCATCCTCCAACAAATCTGAGACAAGGGGAATAGACAATGTAAACATTGGGGAAATTATTGATCACCGATATGGAGCCGCCTGTCCCCCTGCTCGTGTCCCAATCCATTGCCTCACCTTCCTCCGTTAGTTGCACAGCATCCAACATGTCTTCGTAGGCGGCCAGTTCCTGGAAAGATGAATGACATTGTAATCATGTGACACACGATGGGAAGTCTTGTTCCAGCAGCCCCCCTCCAGGACCCCTTTCCTCCTCCATATCTCCCCCCCCCGAGGACCCCCTTCCTCCTCCATATCTCCCCTTCTGAGGACTCCCTTCCTCCTCCATACCCCCCAGCACCATGCTTTCCTTTTTGTTTTCTAACTTACCTGTCTCAGACGTCTTCCGGCTAATCACATGACAAGTCCTCGGTCTTCGTCACGCTGTACTGATATAAGTGCGGAGCCCCCAAGGGGCGGGGCCATGACCCCCTGAGCTCACAGTCTTTCTTTAGACTTCCAGGTTGAGTGATACAGGGTGCAATTCAACCCAGCAGACTGAGGACATCGTGTGGCTCAGGAGAGGTACTGCAGGTGAGTATTGTTGCCAGAGCTGCATTTCTTTTTAAAACCTCCAGGAGGGGCATTAAAAAAAAAAAGCCGGAGTTGGGCTTAAACCTTTAAAGTTTACAATAGACAGAGAGAAGTCACAGCCCCCTCATATGCTCAGATACAGAAACATGGTGCCGGCCTTCTAATGGAAGAACGATAAGCAGGTGCCTAGTGAAGTGTAGTGTCTCCTCTGTAATCTTTGGGAGTGAATCACTCCACAGTCCCTTCATCTGCGGAGCTCAGTGAGGGTTTGTTCTGAAGAAGACGTCAATTCTATTTCCTCCTCCATACCTCCCCCCGGAGGACCCCCTTCCTCCTCCATACCCCCCAGCACCATGCTTTCCTTTTTGTTTTCTAACTTACCTGTCTCAGACGTCTTCCGGCTAATCACATGACAAGTCCTCGGTCTTCGTCACGCTGTACTGATATAAGTGCGGAGCCCCCAAGGGGCGGGGCCATGACCCCCTGAGCTCACAGTCTTTCTTTAGACTTCCAGGTTGAGTGATACAGGGTGCAATTCAACCCAGCAGACTGAGGACATCGTGTGGCTCAGGAGAGGTACTGCAGGTGAGTATTGTTGCCAGAGCTGCATTTCTTTTTAAAACCTCCAGGAGGGGCATTAAAAAAAAAAAGCCGGAGTTGGGCTTAAACCTTTAAAGTTTACAATAGACAGAGAGAAGTCACAGCCCCCTCATATGCTCAGATACAGAAACATGGTGCCGGCCTTCTAATGGAAGAACGATAAGCAGGTGCCTAGTGAAGTGTAGTGTCTCCTCTGTAATCTTTGGGAGTGAATCACTCCACAGTCCCTTCATCTGCGGAGCTCAGTGAGGGTTTGTTCTGAAGAAGACGTCAATTCTTCAACATCCATAATGTGGGGACACGTTGGCAAGAAACAACATGGCGCCCCGTGATCATCCGCCAACACCTCTACTGCCTGCTTTGTCCATGAGTCCGCAGTATTACCTTAATGAGTCGCAGGAGATCACGGCAGTCGCTTGGTGTGGCCCTTCGTACAATGAATTCAACTCTCTCGGGGCCCTCGGTGCTGGGCTCGGCGCTAGGAGTCGGATTGGAGTCGCATTGTTCTGATGAGCCGTCTGCTTCCACTTTCGTAGTTGGTGGTCTCCTGTCCTCAGCCGTACGGGGGATCTTCACCTCTGTGCTCCTCTGATGTGGACGCTGGTGACCTCGGCCAGGCTTAACCGCTGTGACCTTATCATCAGGTCACATGACCTTGTGCTAACTGACACCATATCCCCCCAACTGTCCCACCAAACCAAACCCTCTGCCCCTCTCTCCTTCTGTACAAACCCTCTGCCCCCCTCTCCTTCTGTCCAAACCCTCTGCCCCTCTCTCCTTCTCTACAAACCCTCTGCCCCTCTCTCCTTCTCTACAAACCCTCTGCCCCTCTCTCCTTCTCTACAAACCCTCTGCCCCTCTCTCCTTCTCTACAAACCCTCTGCCCCTCTCTCCTTCTCTACAAACCCTCTGCCCCTCTCTCCTTCTCTACAAACCCTCTGCCCCTCTCTCCTTCTCTTCAACCTCTCCTCCTCAGCTGACCCCCTGCTTGGTCTGATGTACAGATATCCATGAAATGTTCTATTTAACTATCCAAAGTGTTTTATGGCATGGCTTAGGGTGAGGGTTAACCCGGGGTCACCCACCCCTGCTCTATGTATGACATTGGCACACCAGCTGTGGCCAAAACTAGAAATGCCATCATGCCTCTGCCTCATGACTGTCAGAACCTTGCATTGCCTCATGGGACTTGTAGTTCCACAACAGATGGAATGCCGAGACTGCTTACCCCTGCTTCCTAAGGCCCCGTTCACATATAGCGACATACCTTTTGCAGCGGATCCGCACGGCCGGGATAGCGCGACTTTCGGGGCGACGTTCCAGCGACGATCCAGCGACGGTAGCGCGACCTTCCCCGTCGGGCTCCATAGAAAAAAAGTAAAATCGCGCAAAATCCGCCGGAAAAAGGGTCCGGTAGAAGCGACTTGCGACCGCGACGAGCGACGCGCGAC